GAACTTTTGGACAGAACAAAATGACTTTCAAAAAATTGTGCAAGACTCATGGGATGAAGAGGTTACTAACAATCCTATGTGGATAATGCAGCAAAAATTGAAGAGATTAGCTAGTTCACTCAATTACTGGTCTAGAAACACAATTGGTAACATGTTTGATAAAAGAAAGGATCTGGAGGATAAAGTGGAAGCTATGGAGGCAGCTTATGGGGAAGACAATAGTGACACTAACAGAATTAACCTGAACAAACTCTATGCAACCAAAACCAACATGTCGTGATGGCGCCTATCATGGTACTAGGCAAGCCGACTACACAGACATTTCCAACAATCTAAAGGTTTGAAAGATATGGAAGTAGTTAAAATTAAGAAAAACCTTTTAAAACAGAGTAAGAAATCATAATTCAATACAAAATCTCTCCCAAAATCAGGGTGTCACCTAGTACATGAGCATCTACATAAAAACACAGTCTAATACACCGTTTAGGAAATAAAAACCGAAACATAAAATGGAAGATAAGGAGGGAGAGTCAAGGTTTGCGAACGCTTCCGAAAATCTGAACTCCACAACTCAGTAACCACCGTGACCGGAAGCACCTGGATCTACATATGAGGTGTAGGGTGTAGCGTGAGTACAACCAACTCAATAAGTAACAAATCTAACCTTTGGACTGAAAGGTAGTGACGAACTCAGCCGGTGCAGTTCAATATAGAAATAACAGTATAGTAATTTAGGCATGCTTTCAAGTTCAACAGTTAAACTCAATTCAAGTAAAATAGATCAAATTCTGAATGATATGAGGAGTATGCCCTCTCTACATCTACATGCCAATGCACATGTTGTATGTGATGTACCATGCTGAAAGCCTCATGTACTCACACTCTCAGAATACTCAACCGTTCAGTACTATATATGGCCAATCCAGCACAGGAAAGATCCATCTCATATATATATATACACATCGACTGACAGTCAGTCACTCAGTACTGTATAAGGCCAATCCAGCCCAGGGGAAGATCCACCCCCAAATATAAATGATTGGGACAAGATCCATGTCCAGGGAAGATCCATCCCTCAATATAATCAATTGCGCTCACTGTGGGTGTGTACAGACTCTGGAGGGGCTCCTTCAGCCTAAGCGCTAAAATAAGCCAGATCCAGGCATAAATCAATAAACATGCTGCAGCGTGCAGCCCGATCCCATAACTGTCAATCTCAATCAGGCTCTCGGCCTCACTCAGTTATCAATCTCTCCAGTCTCTCTCTCTCAGGCTCACAATGTCGTGAAACTAGCCCAAAAATGATGATATGATATTGCAATAAATAACAAAAGGAGACTGAGATATGATATGCAATGAATAAATATGACTGAGTACGAAATTTCAATGTAATCAACAAGTTGACAACAAGAATCGACCACTATGGGTCCCAACAGTACCAGCATATAGCCTAAACATGATTTCTATCATGATTGGCAGCTCAATTACTTATCACATGATGAAAATACGGATATCAAAAAGATAAATCCACTATACAGTTCCATGGAATCGACTAGGTCACAATTCTTACGGTGCATTCCTACACACCTGTCACTTGGCATGTGCGTCACCTCAATACCAATCATATAACACATAATTTGGGTTTCCAACTCTCAGGGACAAGTTTAGAAGTGTTACTTGCCTCAATCCGAGCAAATCTCTACTCTAACACACCTTTGCCTCGTGAAACGGCCTCCGAATGCGTCAAATCTAGCCACAAACAATGTGATACAATCAACACGGGCTAAAGGATTCAATTTCATAAGAAAATACTAAGTTATTAATCAAAAGTCAAAAGTCGACTCAAAAGTCGGCCCCCGGGCCCACGTCTCAAAATCTGATAACAGTCACAAAACCCAAAAGCCCATTCATCCATGAGTTCAACCATACCAAATTTATCAAAATCCGACACCAAATCGTCATCCAAATCCCCAAATCAAACTCTCCAAATCTTTAGCCTCAAACTCCCAATTTACACCATAAATACACACCAACTAGGTGGGAAAATCAATGCAGAAACAAGATTATTGATTAAAAATGAGCACAAGAGACTTACCTCAAGAAACCCCTCGAAAATCCTCTCAAGAAGCGCCCAACCCGAGCTTGAAATGTTTAAAATAAAGCAAAATCGCGAACCCTTGAATTTAAGTGTTCTGTCCAGCCTTCCGCTTCTGCGGAAACTTAACCGCATCTGCGACGTTGCAGAAATAACAATTCACCCGCTTCTGCGGTGAACCACTGGAGTTGGGCCTCCGCTTCTGTGGTCCTTACCCTCGCATCTACGCAATCGCAAGTGCGGAATTCCCCATCGCACCTGCACACACTTCGCTTCTGCGCCCATCACGCCACACGTGCGACCACGCAAGTGCGGAAATCCCCTCGCACCTGCGACCATAGTCCTCCCCAATCTTGGCCGCATCTGCGCTCCTCAGCTCGCACCTGCGATCAAAGCTTCGTAGGTGTGATTACACCAACAGACTCCCTACTTCAACCCTGCACCAAGTCCCGTTTTCGATCCGGAACCATCTGAAATCAACCCGAGGCCTCTTGGGACCTCAACCAAACATATCAACAAGTCCTAAAATACGATACAAACTTAGTCGAGCCCTCAAATCACCTTAAACAATATCAAAAACACGAATCACACCCAATTAAAGCCTATTGAAACTAAGGAATTGCAACTTCTCCAAACGACGCCAAAACCTATTAAATCACGTCCGATTGACACCAAATTTTGCACACAAGTCACATATGATACCACAAACCTACTCCAACTCCCAGAACTCCAGTCCAAGCCCGGTAACCACAAAGTTTACTCTCAGTCAAACTTCCAAATTTCTAACTTTCGCCATTTCAAGCCTTATTCAACTATAGACCTCCAATTCATAATCCAGACACGCTTCTAAGTCAAAAATCACCCAACGGAGCTAACATAACCATCAAAACTCTATTCCGGAGTCATTTACACATAAGTCAATATCCAGTTAACCTTTTCAACTTAAGCTTCCAACTTTGAGACGAAGTATCTAAATTCATTCCAAAACATCCCCAGACCCAAACCGACAACCCCGGCAAGTCACATAATTGCTATAAAGTATAAAATGACCAGTAAATGGGGGAACATGGCTACAACTCTTAAAACGACCGGTCGAATCGTTACAAATATAAAATAATATTCTTAAGCAAAAAGCTAGAGTGAAATGGTAACTGGATGGTGATAGTAACACAAAGTACTTTCATACTACTATTAGATAAAGAAGGAAGAAGTCTTACTTTCATAGAATATAAAATAAGGAAGGTAACTGGATTCTGGGTAATATGTAAATATCTGAAGCTGCTATTCAATATTTCAGCAACTTATTCACCCAGCCAGTGCAAGAGTCAGATTTTAGTATATTGAACAAGATTGATAATCACATCATTGAGGAGGATAATATTTTTCTAACCACTATACCAACTACTGAAGAGGTTAAGAAGGCTATTTTCTCACTCAACCCCAACAGTGCAGCAAGTCTTGACGGTTTCAATGGGTGTTTCTACCACTCATGCTGGGACATTATATCATGATGTGGTGAATATGGTTCAGGCTTTTTTTGAAGGCCAAAGAATGTCTAGATTTACACTAGCACTTGCTTAGTACTTATTCCAAAAGTGGAGTCCCCTAGTTTCTTTTCCCAACTCAGACCAATCAGTCTCAGCAATTTCTCCAACAAGATAGTATCTAAGATTGTCACAAATAGAATCTCCTTTATGCTTCCTAAGATCATTTCAGAAAACCAAACAGGTTTCAAGAAAGGAAGGCTCATAACTGAGAATATCCTCTTAACTCAGGAGATTGTTAAGGACATTGGTAAGAAAAATATTGGAGGGAATGTGGTTATCAAATTGGATATGGCTAAAGCATATGACAAGATTTCTTAAAATTTTCTCTTTGCTACAATGAGAAAAATGGGTTTCTCAGAGGATTTCATTGATATCATTTATAGGTTAGTGGTTGATGTCTGGTACTCTATACTAATTAATGGTACTAGACAAGGTTTCTTTCACTCCACCAAAGGTTTGAAACAAGGTGATCCACTATCCCCTTCTCTACTCATCATAGTTGCTTAGGTTCTCTCAAGATCCCTTAACAGTCTACACAAAAAGGAAGGATATGTGGGATTCTCAATGAACAAGAATGGCCCTCAAATTAACCATCTATGTTATGCAGATGACTTAGTCATCTTCTCCTCTGGGAATAAGAGGTCAATGAATATGATAATGAAGAAGCTGTAACAGTATGAACAAGTTTCAGGACAAGAAATTAGTAAAGAAAAGAGTTTTTTCTCACTCATACGCACACTCCTTAATCCAGAAGATATAGAATTCAGAGAGTGACTGGTTTCAAACACTAACACTTTTCACTAAAATATTTGAGGTGCCCTATCTATTGCAGTAGAAAGAAGATCAGTTTCTTCACAAACATGGCTACTAAAATTCTCTACAAAATCCAAGGATGGCAGAGTAATCTTTTATCAGTGGGAAGAAGGGCCACCCTGATCAAACACATTCTTCAGTCACAATCACTGCACATAATGGCTGCTATCTCCCCTCAAAAGACTATCCTCAAACAATAATAAAAGTATTTTGCGGACTTCTTTTGGGGATACAATGATACCAAGAAAGAATTTCACCGGAGTGCTTGGAATAAACTGTGCTTTCTTACTAGTGAGGGAGAAGCAGGTTTCAGGAGTTTAGTGGATATTACCAAGGCCTTTGCAGCCAAGAGATGGTGGAGGCTAAGATCACAAGACAACCTTTGGTCTAAGTTTATGCTAAGCAAATACTGTCAGAGAAGTCATCCTATGGCAAAAAAGAAGCAGCCTAGAGATTCTAGCAGCTGAAAAGAACTTATGGATATTAAGGATAAAGTTGACTCTCACATTTTGTGGAGAATACATATAAGAGATTTATCTTTTTGGTGGGATAATTGGAGTGGGCTGGACTACCTAGCCTCCTTACTGCAATTTCACAATCCTGGTACCCTTCTGGTAGAGGATTGCATTGTCAATGAAAATTAGAACCTTGATCTTATTAGTCAACTAGTTACAGTTACTATTTTACAACACATCAAACATGTGAAGATTGAGAATATCAGGAGAAGGATAAGGCTATCTGGAAACCTTCTACTAATGGTTTATTTTCAGTCTCCTCAGCCTTTGAACTACTCAGACAAAGAAGGGCGCAACAACAAATCTGGAAACAAACTTGGATCAAACATATCCCTTTCAAGATATCTTTCTCACTTTGGATGATTTGGATGATAAAGATACCACTTGATGATATTATACTCAGGTTTAGGCTTCCAATTATTTTTGAATCCTCATGTTGCAGACAACCTCACGCAGAAACAATTGAACATGTTTTTCACACTAGTGAGAAGGCCAAACAAATATGGTATTTTTTCTCCACAGCTTTGTGATTTGCATCAGACTCTCCTACTTTACAGATGAGATTTTTCACTTGGAACAACTTCAATTCTTCTAATTTCTATATTAGAGCTCTGGGTCACTTTGCTTCGGTTTATATATGTTGCGAAATCTGGAAAGCTATATGTGAAGCTAGATTTGGAAGAGGATTTCCTCATGTGGAAAGAATTTGTGAGGAAATTCTTTTTCATCTGAAAATCCATTTAAAGAAGATTGGTGCTCCAATTGACTTGAAATGGAACTGGCATACCTTATGTAATGCTCTAGAGAGTACCGGTCCTATGTTAACTATTGTACCAGCTAGTTGGAAAAAACCTCCACTTAATTAATTAAAAGTTAATATAGATGGTAGCAGTAACCCAACTAACCAAACTGTTGGTATTGGAGGTATTGTGAGGGATAGAAATGGAGATTTGATTATGGCTTTCGCTAAAAAACTCCATTTCTACACTAACAATCAAGTTGAGGTGCAAGCATCCTTATTTGCAGTTAATTGGTGCAATCAACAAGCTCACAGTAATATTATTTTGGAAATGGACTCATTGCTTGTTGTAAATATGCTAACTGACGGGAATGTTATTCCATGGGAATTAGCTTAATGGGTGGAGTAGATTAAACAAGGTCTACAAACCCATCATTTCAAAATTCAACAATGCTTTAGAGGTGCAAACACTGTGGCAGATGTTCTAGCAAAAACTGTGAGCAACTTATTTGATGGTACTACTGTCTTGTTTGATGAATGGAAAGACCTCCCTAAGAAGGCTAGAGGATGCTCCATAATGGATCAAAATCAAATTCCAAATTTTAGAATTAGGAAAAAGCACAAGAATGGAACTTCCTGAAGCTATATTTCTACACATCGGTAATAGGGAGTTGTGCTCCCTCTTTTTTTGGAAGCTCAATTGTTTATTCCTAGTCAATCCGACACTAGGATCAACTTATTTATTTGATGATCAATATGGGAATGACCTTACATCATGTAATTTTTTGCTAACTTTACGGTTAGGAATATCTAACTTACTTGTTGTAGAAGGAGAGGTAAGGTTTTATGTCCCCCGCCTCCATATATTTCCTTTTTTGATTCTAATATGCATGTTGGGGTCAGCCTAAACCCCTGTGATGGTGAGAATTAAAAAAACAATTCAGCACGAAATCATAAAAATTTGAGGAGCGTTGATTAGAGCCGTCAATATGGGCTTGGCCCGTTGGGCCAGCCCAGTCCGTGATTCAGTAGGGTTGGGCTAGAATTTTTGGAGCCCATTTTAAAATGAGGCTTTTAAGCCCGACCCGAGTAATTCCGTGGCTCATGAGGCTTGACTGAGACTGGGCTGGTCCGGCCCGTGGGCCTAATAAAAATATTTATTTAAAATATATAAAATATAAAAAGTATACTGCATGTAGTGATGGAAAGCCAGAATTGGATCTTTACTTAGAGGAACCAAAGTTTGGTCTTGAAAAGTTTCAAGAGATGGATGTTGTCATGTATTGGAAGGACCATTCTAGAAAATATCCTTATTTTTTAGTGATGGCGCATGATGTACATAGTATTCCTATTATCATTGTAGCATCGGAATCAACATTTCACATTGGTGGGGGTGCTCGTACAAAGTACATAAGTTACATCCATCATGAAAATGTCCAAACACTTGTTACTACTCGAAATTGACTGCACGACTTTTCCCAAACTCATACTGGTAATATTTTTTTTATGTGAATTTAAATATTATTAGTTTTTAAAATTTAATTATTCTTAATAATCCACTAATTAATATTGAATATGAATTGTAGATGTAGATGAAAGTGAAGATGTTAAGTGTAACGACCCAACCGGTCGTTTCGACTTTTAGAACCCCGTTCCCCTAAATAAAACTCCCTGAATGTGTTTTTAATATTTTATGACTTGCGAGGATGGTTGGTTCGGGATTTAGAAGTGTTTGGGTTGAAATCGGAATACTTGGTTCCTTAAGTTAGCTTTAAAAGGGCAAGTTTGACTTCAGTCAACATTTTGAGAAAACGACCCCGGAATCGGGATTTGAAGGTTCCAGTAGGTTCGTATGTTAATAAGTGAACGAGTCATATTATAAGTGATGTAGGGTCTAAGGAGAGCCCTAAGTCTTAATCAAGTTGGAAATTACATGATAGACTAAAGTTCCAAATGAGTACACACAAAAACCTAACTTTGGACGAGCATGCCTATATATGTAAGGGGTGGTGGACAACCTATCAAATGAAAGATCTTTGAGTCTAGTTTCTCACGCTTTCAACCGTTCGTCATTTGGATATTTCTACAAGGACTTATGGACGTTTTAGTAAAAGGTGTCCAGCAGGGCAAAACTTGTAATACGAGGTACAACCTGCACAGCGCAAGGTACAACTCACTGAAGCACCTGTGCCTTTATAAGGCAGTCACGGGCAGCAGCCATTTTTGGGGATTTTCTTGAGCTAGAGATTGGTTCTTTCATGGTGGATTCGACCTTGGGGCTACTTAAGAATACAATGTGAGTTTTTTTTGGATACTTTAAGTTAATAACATCCTATTAACACTAGTATTAACATCCTTCAATATTTGAAATCTCTAGAAATCTTGCAAGTTGTTCAAGAACACCAAAATTTTCAAATATTAGAATTTCAAGGAAAAGCTTCAAGAAGGTAATACTAATGTTTCAAGCTCATTTCTTATGAGTCGGTGAGAGTAATTCTAATATTTGTTTCAAGTTGTTATGGTTGGATAATTGATTTCATAAACTCTAGTTCATGGCATGAATAATGTTCTTGAGAAAATGAGGGAAA